ACCAGAGGCTGATTTGCCCACGTCGTCTCGTCGAAAGCCTGATTTCCTCTGTTTTTGTACGCGCTGTATATCTCAAAGAAGTTGTCCATGAGCAGCGGCGTGAGGAGGCCTACTTGGCAGATGACACCGGCCAGAGAGCGGGCCGTGTAAGCGCCCCGGGAGAAGCCAAAGATGAAGATTTCGTCTCCTGGCCCCCAGTTGTTTGAGAGGTAGTTGTACGCCTCGCAGACGTTTTCTGCGAGACTCCCGCCAAAGGCACCTGCAGCGCGTTTAGACGATGTACTGACATGGAAACTGTCTTGACGTACCTTGGCGAGCTTTGTCGACATATGTCAAGGAGCCTGTACCAACACCGGACTGGTAGTATACCACTTGTGGTATCCTTTCACCAGTCTTGGAAATGCCGAAGTTGGAAATCACATGGCACAAACGAGCGACATTACTAGAGTAGTCGTCGGTTCCTGTATCGGCGCTATTGAAGGTACCGTCGCAGCACACAATGAGCCGCTTCTTCACGTTACCGGAGAATTGCACAGACGTGCATGCGTTGCATTCGGAGTTCATGATGCTATGAGACGGATGTTTCTGTTGAAGTGATTATATAGTAATGATTTCACAAAGCTACTCGACACGATGGACATTGTGAGATGGGATATCGTCAATATATCGTTTCTTGAGGTGCTTGCAACCTGGACACGGGTTTCGGTTCAGCCGTGAAGTGTATGTCAGTCTAATGCGTAACGGACCAGCCACAAAACACCAAAAGTAGTAAATTGTGTGTTGCACAGAGGCAAAGGACACCGAGGTTGACTCCAGCCATTGCAGAAATTGATTGTGATGAACAATTGCCAGCACGTCGTCCCGCCAGTCGTCTACACCGCATGCTGTAAGCTGACTGCGCCCGAAGTGGCTTGTCACATTCCCGACTCTTCAGCTTTCCCAAAGTGTCTCGTTCATTGATCTGGTGGTAGCTGAGAGAGGGCGTGGCGCATAAGAGCGCCCGATGAATGGCCAGGAGACGCCGGCCGGCTGCTGGTTTTCTCTGGACGTAGCTGACACGACATGGCGGGAGGGTTGTGCTTGACTTCGCATGTCGGAGGTTTTACCCAATGAACCCAGATTTCCTGCATAGCCTGTACTAGGTCGTCTGGTAGTCCGAAGAACATGTCGCTCGGGCCGCGGTTGAGATTGTGTGTCAGTATACGGAGTACGGGTGGGTGTTTTGTGCAGAACGCGAAGCTTGGTACAACCAGGACGCAAAGTTCGTGAGGAACGAGATGAATTGTACCGGAGAGACCGTGTTTGGTTTCACAGGACAGTCGGAAGACATACTTTGCGATGCTGATAATGAGCGTTGTCGTGACATGGACTCGGGCGATCAGCGAATGCGTATTGATGGTTTAACGACTTTGCCAAAAGTCGAGGCCTAGGTCTTCTTCATTTCGTTGAAACAATTGGCAATGAGCATGAGAGGTCCATTCTTGACATTGTTCCGAAGCACAGCAGTTTCCCTGGTTGATTTGTATTGTTGCCATTGCACCTTCACACCCTAGTTAGATATGCCGTGAAACTGTCGTTTGTAGTTTGGAACGGGATGGACTGCAAGTACAGAAATATTGCAAAGGTGCGATGGCGTTGATAGAATGATTTGCCTGGTGAGTTCTCGGTATTACGCTCGGACCATAACAGGGTGGCTTTCAAATTTGTGCGTCACGATTGAGATTGATCATCAATCTGCCGGATCTTCTAGATGTAAGGGCCATGGTGGGCCAATGGTAGGAATCGTTTGGATGCTGGGGTTCCATTGCCATGCTGCTTCGATGCCTTCTCAAAATGCTTTTGGGCATCTGTCGTCACGAAAATGTTTTATCAGGACAAAAACTATTATGCACCGAGGGGATGGCAGTGAGTAGAAATTCCAACGGCGAGGCTCGTGAGAGTTGTCATGGATCCACTTTATGTCGCTCGCTTAAGTCATGAAAGAGCGTCTCGTCGTCTTTATCATGATAATTCATTTGAACAATTGTTTGTTTACACTCAAGAATTCGTAAACTTTTACACAATAAATGCCAAACACGTTTTCAAAGCCATTGTGATTAGAAACGGTTTTAATGTTGAGAAATAGAGACCGTTACACCAATAATCACGTGCGAGAACACAAAAAAACGCACCTTCAGCGTCCCTTGTCTTTTCGTGATTGCCGTCTCTCTTTCGTCGTTTTGACTTTCCATCTACCACCTCGCTTTTCACATCCTATCCCAGGCACGGGTTCCCGCCCTGTTGCCATGGAAACTGTCGTAGTTAAACTCGGCGGCGCTGCTATTACAGTCAAGTCCCTCGCCGACACCCTTTCCCCAAACATTCATGGCCTGGTGGATAAGGTAGCTCAAGTCTATCAAGATAAACTGAGACCATTGGGAAGACATTTGATTCTGATTCATGGAGCCGGAAGCTTTGGACACCCCCCAGCTAAGAAGTACAATGTCAAAGCAGGTTGGTTGAGTCCAACAGGAGCGACCCAGGACAAACTGGATGGCCATACGCGACAAGAAGAGGAACGGCGTGATGAAGTCAAGTTTGGCATGGCACTGACACGGCAACGCGTATTGCAACTGCACCATCATATTCTGCAACTGTTGCAGGACCGGGGAAGACTGCCAGTTCTATCAGTGTCCACCTATGACACGGTCGAGACGGACCAAGGAGTTTTGACGCAGGAGGGAAGCCGTCGATTGATAACCCGGGTGACGAATCTGCTGACGCAGGGGTTTATTCCCGTGTTATTTGGCGACGCCGTCCTGGATCACACATGGGGGGCTACAATCCTGTCGGGTGATGCTCTCATGCATGAATTAGCGACGCATCTACCTGGCGTGCGACGATGCGTATTTGTCACGGATGTTCCTGGCATTTTTACACAAGATCCGAAACAGTACGCAGACGCGGTTCTCATACGGCAATTGCATTTCAGTGAATCAGGGGACAGTGCAACGTATGACGACGATGCGGCCTCTGGTGTGGACGATGTTACCGGGGCTATGCGTACGAAATGGCAGTGGGCAAAACGCATCATGACGGATGCACATCAGGTGAATCGAGTCATCATTTGCCAAGCTTCGGTTTCAGATAAGGCTATAGGTCTAGTTGATGAACACGACGGCAATGGCCTGGATGGTGGTGATGGCTCTGATGCTTGGACTACGGTTCGTAGATAGGAATATACTATCGACCCGTTTCCATCGGCTTCGAGGTTTTTGAGCAAATCTGGTAGGCATTTTCACAATCAGCCGTGCCGAAGGCTCCTTTCTGTCTGTTTGATGCGCAGATATTACTTGAAACGAGCTATGCATACCCTCTTCCTTTTTTATTGCTTTACTAATTATTGTTTCGAAAAGACTAATACCAAACTTTGCGCAAAATAGCTACCTCAGCACTCTCAGCACAGCTGGTATTCACAAGCCCAACAGGGGGCCTCAGTCACTTGGGAATATACAATCTCTAGAGAGCCCTGCTGAAGTGATGCAAAGTGCTATTCATCAGCATATTTCTCCATCACTGCGGCAATCGCGGTTATTTGCCTGCAAAGGAGCACATATGTATTCCTGCGGCCTCTGCCACTGTACAAAAGTGCGAGCGTAGGCTTAGGATTCAATCTTGTCCATCAGATATTTGGCGCTCAAGACACTTGGGATGTACTTCAGAGCACGCGTCGCGCGTCATGAATACCATCTTGGCGAGACGGCGCTGGCCAGCCTGAACGCTATGGTAACCAACCGATTGCTTAAAAGGAAAGATATGTCTGGGATGGTGGGCATTCCAACAACTCGGCGCAGACATAACGTTACCACGTCGCGTCGACATGTTCCATCAACTGAGGCGCATGGGCAGCCCTCTGTCCAAGTCTCAGAAAATTGTCTCTCTTGTATTCGTGGTGTGATGTAGATGGGCGGGCAGCATGGAGAGATGGCGCATCAGACAGGTTTATTCCAGAAGCGGACATGGACATGGGATTAAAATAGGCGGGCCGTCCATCCGATCAAATTGATCACAACAAGAGGCGCCAGGGTTTTATGAGATGCAGGCGGGCAGCCAAGGACAGCCAACCGTTTCGTCACCCCGCATTAATGTAACGGTTCTGGAATTGAGGACAATGGCAAAACGGTTGTGGTTGACGTCCCGCGAGCTGAATGGAGCGTCAGCGATGATGGAGTAGAAGAAGGAGCGAATGGGGCGGGAGACCGAGTTGTTGATGGAACTTGAAGTTGCTCTGTTACTCTGTCTGCTGGAATCATGTCAGATGAAGACAAGGCTGGGGATGTGACGACACTGATCCTTGATCCTTGAATGGCACTCGCCCGGCAGACCGGAGGATGGGGGATTCGTCGATCCTACCAGGATCGATTGATGGTTGCCGTGGTCCATGGCACTACGCAAAAACGCAAACTAGACGCCCAATTTTATCAAAAGCTCCAGATGTCATGTCCCCAAATGCCAACTGCTATGGTAGCAGCCTCCCCCGACATTGTGGTCGGCATCAGACTCACCAACAGAAGCGCGAAGGGGTAGATGCCGGTATGCTCTCGCCTTGTAGTGGCACCGACTGCTGCGGTCTGTTTTGCCATCAATGATCTGAATAGACAATACATGTATTTACCCGGGTGCCGTTATATTTGGCCATTCAATTGTGAGCTATTGTGGCCCGTGGGCAGCCCCTTCCTACTTGGCATTTGGCCCGTTCAAGACTTTTCTTGGCTCGAACGCACCTGCAACTTGGCTCTTTCTTTACATATGCATGTGCCTACGAGTTTAAATGGCATTGAAGCCAGGCAAGCAAAGCCGGAACCACATTCCCAGACAATTCGGGCCTTGCTACTCCATGTCCATATACACCTTCTCTAATGCCAGAACTCTTTCTGCCGACACTTATTGAGTAACGATTTCTAGTTACCGCCTACTCCAACCCAGAGTCACATACATACAGACCTGCCTCACAATTCGCCATGCATGTAGATCATCATACGCGATTGACACTCGCCGCCTGGAAACGGCTCAAATCTCTGCTCAGAGATCATGGCAGCCCCGTTCATGTGGATGGCGAATCGTTGTCCATTGCAGATGTGATCGCCATATCTCGGTAGGTGACCGTCTTGCAGCTTGCCACCAGAGCAGCATCTATTCTGACAGCCGTCTTCCTTAGTTACGGTCATAAGGCCAGGGTCGATGATTCCCCTGCAGCAATTGCCAAGGTCAATGAAAGTGTTGACTGTCTAAAAGAGCTCCTGGACCAAGGCCAGGTCTTTTACGGTAAGAAGTTACCGCTTTCCACGGCGTGTCGCTAGCTGAACCGTCATGCAGGCGTTGGGACTGGTTTTGGAGGCAGCGCGAATACTCGCTCTGCAGACACGGCTGCTCTCCAGGTTGCACTTATGCAGATGCAGCAGTGCGGAGTATTGTTCGGGCACCAGAGCCATGGCCCAAGTTCTACATCTATGCCCGAAGCCTGGGTCCGAGCCGCAATAGCTGTCCGATGCAATACTCTGGTTCGGGGACACTCGGCCGTGAGATATCAAATCATCCAGATGCTGGAGCGACTACTTAACGAAGACTACATACCGCTGGTCCCCGTAAGAGGCAGCATATCCGCTTCAGGAGACCTCAGTCCTCTTTCCTACATTGCAGGAGTCTTAGAAGGCAATCCCAAACTGTTTCTTTGGACGGGACAGAGTGACCCTAGAACACTCGTTAATGCCACTCAAGCACTGAAACTGCTCCAGCTTGACCCTATTACCTTTGGTCCCAAAGAAGCCCTGGGACTGGTGAATGGGACGGCGGTGTCTGCTGCAGTGGCGACTTTAGCTTTGCATCAAGTTCACCAACTTACTGTTCTATCACAGATCCTCACGGCAATGGCTGTAGAGGCTCTCCTCGGAACCACAGAAAGCTTCCATCCTTTCCTGGCCAAAGTCCGCCCCCACGTTGGTCAAATTGAAGCCGCGCGAAATATTTTGGGCTTTCTCCGTGGTTCTCGCCTTGCTACACAGCAGGTTTCTGTAACCGGTATGCAGCGTTCGGATGACCTATATCAGGATCGCTACCCAATACGCACCTCAGCTCAATGGATCGGTCCACTGCTAGAAGATCTAGTGCTTGCGGATAAGCACATCACCACAGAACTAAACTCAACCACGGACAATCCCGTCATAGATGTCCAAACGGCCCGGGTGCTTCACGGTGGAAACTTTCAAGCCTCCACGGTGACATTGGCCATGGACAAAGCCCGGTCTGCGTTGCAGATGATGGGAAAGATGCTCTTTTCTCAGTGTACCGAGATGATGAACCCGAGCATGAGTAATGGGCTGCCTCCAAATCTGGTGTTTGATGAGCCTAGCGTCTCGTATGCGTTTAAAGGTATGGCATATCCTTGCCCTGCGCCAAACAGATCATGTAGAGTAGCTTATGCTGTCGACAGGCATCGACATTGCCATGGCTGCCTATACCTCGGAGTTGGGCTTTTTAGCCCAGTCTGTTGCACCGCACGTGCAAAGCGCCGAAATGGCGAATCAGGCGATTAACTCTCTGGCTCTCCTTTCGGCTCGCTATACCCATACGGCGATTGACACCTTTTCGATGTTGACTGCTTCCTACATCTATTCACTTTGCCAAGCCCTTGATCTGCGGGTCATGCAGGTACAATTTGAAGATGGAATGAAGTCAGTTCTGCCGCCGCTTGTAGAGGGTTTTTTCGCAGCGGTTCTGCCTGATGACTCCCTTGCTGAGTTGAAGTTGTTGACGTGTAGACATATCATCGATCAGTTCAAGAAGACAACCGCCGAGGACTCGACCAGTCGCTTCCGTAACATTGCGGTGTCAACACAGGCTGTATTCATGTCGTTTCTCTCCAAATCGCCTAGTTTATCCCCTGGAATGCTGCTGACGGGATTCTCGATGATTCCTGTTTGGGTTACAAGTGTAGAGGCCCTGATGCAGAGTCAGTTTGACGAGATCCGTCACTCTGCGTTGACCAAATGCGACACCCCCTCCTATCTTTGCGATGCTTCCAAGAAGATATATGAACTGGTTCGGGTCACGTTGGGGATTCCTTTCAATCGCGGACTGCCAGACCACCCTTCAGTTGCGAGCGCGAAACATACAAGGGAGCAGATTGACGCGGGACTCACTCCGTTCAGCGATGGATACCTGATTGGGGACTGTGTGAGCCGAATCTACGACTCCCTTCGATCCGGGGAGATGATGGATACGGTCATGGAATGCTTGGTGGAGGTGGTGACTTGTCATGACTCCCCAAACCAATTCCTTTGACTGTGTCAGGTAGCGGTCCCACTTCTCCGCCATACCTAACAAGTACTTTTTATTGAAGGGCTGCAATAAGTGTAATACATTTTTATATAGACTTAAAAACCCCAGGTACTTGAGTTATTATATTAATACTATATAGTTATACCTTTAGATTTAAGGATTCTTAACTGGCCTATATCCTTGCTCGGTACGAAAGTGGCACCTTAACGCAGTCAAAGGAATCAATAGGACTCACAAGCCGTGAATTAGGCCCCCTGTCTGTAGCTCGTTTCCCATCCCGACGATGGGTCAAGTGTTACGATACCCACTCGGTTCTTGGCCGTCGACGATCAAGTCATGGCCAATCACAGGCAGACAGCATAAGCACGTCACTACAGACTGTATCCCCGCATTCAACTTCTCTCAGTCGTCGAAACTGTCGTCCTGAATTACTGGCGGCGAAAGAGAGGGTGAACCACTTGCAAGAAGCAACTTAACAATGGCGACAGTACCATCCAGAATCCTCATACTTGGGGCCACGGGCAACATTGGCCAGTTCATCACCAAGAACATCCTTCACGCCAGGCCCAACAACGCCAAAGTAACAATCTTGACGTCTGAACACACCGTTTCGTCCAAGGCAGCTCTTATAAATGGCTGGAAGGACGCTGGTGCATCGGTAATAACTGGCGACATTACCAAGGCTGCCGATGTCGCCGCTGCATACCGCGGCATTGACACGGTTGTAAGCTGCGTCGGGCGAGCCGTGCTTGACCAGCAAAAAGAACTCATCAGGCTGGCCGAAGAGTCGGGAACTGTTCAGTGGTTCTTCCCCTCGGAGTATGGCACAGATATTGAGCACAATTCCAAGAGCCCAACAGAGCGACCGCATCAGATGAAGCTGGCCATCCGCAAGTACATCCGGGAGCACACGAAGCGCCTGAAGGTGACTTATGTTGTTGTCGGTCCGTATTTCGAAATGTGGGTGGATGGCGGTACGTTCTCGGATCAAATCGGCGGATTCAAGGCTGAGAAGGGCGAGGCCTTTCTCATCGGCGACGGACAAGGCAGGATCGCGTTTACAAGCATGCAAGAGTGAGTGCGGCTGACCCCCCGGGTTATGTTTCTCACTTGATCCCCATGTCGGCATTACGGCCCCTTTTTCAAGGCACACTGACACATGGCTCTGTAGCACCGGTAAAGCCGTGGTTGCAGCTCTCCGTCACCCCGAACTATCGTACGGCAAGGCGTTGAAAATCTCGTCATTCGTGGTGACTCCGAGCCAGGTGCTGTCCGAATTTGAGAAGCAGCTAGGCAGAAAGTTTACTGTAAAATATATCCCGTTGGAGTCCCTGGAGCGGACAGAGGCGGAATTCTGGGAGGCAGGGAACCCTATCGCTACTGTTGCCACGCTGCGCCGAATATGGGCCGCTGGCGGCACGCTGTATGACAAGTGGGACAATGACACGATTGGGCTGACCTCGACGGACTCTCTCGAGGGGATTATCAAGTCGTATCTTGAGGAGAAGGGCCATCTGAGTGGCTCGCAAGGCGAAAAGCTATAGGGGATGGGTGGGCAAGGTGGTTGCATGTTGCCTAGTAGAGTATGGAAGAGACAAAGAGAATGCATTTGATCGCAACTCCTACTTTCTCGTCGTCCTGGATTCCCTGATTACCCGAGGCTATAGTCTTCAGCGTATATTCTAGAGCCAGAGGCAAGTTGGGCAATCTTGTGAAAGGGGCAGAAGATTCCGCGGAGCAGAGAACAAAGGGCATCTGGAGATTCACCCACTCTCCAACAAACATGCCAAGTTCCAGCAACGCTTTATACGGCAGTAAAGGTCATAATCAGCATCCTCCACTCTGCGGTCGTGGTGAGCTTTCGCCACAGGAGGCTGTGTTATTTGAGAAAGCCATGGTTGGTCCGCAATTCTAAGCTCACACTATTCCCCAATCCTCTTCCTCATCTTTCAATGCTCGACGACTCTTAATTGCCAAGGGATAGCCGGGTGCGTAATAGCTTGCGACTCCCTCCAAAAACTAATGAGAAGGCGCGGCTTGGTGTCTCGAGAAAGTAACCTCAGACCAAGGCTGGCATCCCATGGTCCTTCTCTCTGGGTTGACTCCTGAAGGATCCTCAAGGCCGCTTCCTTTGTCCCCAGTCTCGTGCTGTACACATACGACCAGTACATGAGGGCGATGAGGCCGGTTTCAAGAGTGTAATCCGACGGTGGCTTCCCCTCTAGGTTATGTGCGAGGAGCATCTTGGCCGCAAACGAGACACCCCGTGAAAGTTCATCCTGGAAGCAGGGGTCCTGGGCCATCTTGAGGTGGGAGTCGATGCCGAACGGCACAAGCTGTATCATGGTTCTCGCACTATTCACCAGCAGCCAGTCCATCTGACTACTGTATGACAGCCATGTTCCCATCGGGGGTGCCTGTGGTCCAGCCCACATCAGCTCAAGAGCAGACATTATCGCCACGCCCCGTTGGCGAAGGGCGTTTAGTTCTTGCTGCATATGCGGCTGCGCCCAGAAAGCCTGGCTGCCTCTGTGCTCACGCAGCTCCCAGCAGCGAACCATGACTTCGTTTACGTATTGTGTTCTTGCGTCGTAGCCTTGGGCCACGCTGGCGATGGGCCGGGCGTCGGGCGTGTCGCCGCGGAGCTGTTGTCCCAGGAGTAAGGGGATGTCGGAAGAGAAGCCCCCCAGAGCAAACTCAACGTTGCGGAATTGGGTGACGATGTCCCATAGATCGGCGTCGGATAAGAAGGACCCTCTTGCCCGACGTCTTGACGCAGCGGCGCGAAGACGGCGCACGTCTAGGGCCGACATGAGGATGCGTATTCCGTTGCGCATGTGCGCTATCGCCGTGTAGTGGTCGCCACGAAGGAGCTCCAGGGATATGAAGGCCAGGCAGGAGACGAGCACAACGGCAATGCTCGCGGGCTCGGGCTTGTCAAGATGTCTGTGAAGATTCCGTATGGCCAGGTTGTACTCCCGCCAGGTAAAGCGCTCCAGCGTCCCGACCGCAGGCGAGGACACTTGCAGATGACTGGAAGCCCCTTTGCCGACCTTGTATAGGTGATATGCCGCACCGAGCGCTACGAGAGCATGCTGAACGGCCTCGTCACAATGGCCAAGCTGGGGGGCAAGCGTTGTCCAGAATGGCGACACGCCGCAAGAGTGCATGGAAACCCCGGCTTCGGTCGCCCGCCTATAGCTGCAGAAGAACTGCCGTTCCATGTGAGTACTGCCCACGCCTGACGAGATGGATCTCGTGAAACTGTTTCTAAAGTGCCTAGTTTGGCTGGGTATTTCTTGTCGTAGAACACGGCGCTGGTCATGGACGAATCGAACGGCGGCGGCATATCCCTCGCATGGTTTTCCGGCAGATATGCACTTGAAGCAAGTTGGTTTTCCTTCGTCGCATTTGACGCGTCGCTTTCTATGAAACGGAGAAGGGCCAAGTTAGACTGTCCAAGTCAAGGGCTTACAGTTGAAGCCGCGGTCAACATACCTGCTAGTCGATGGCATCAGCACCCATATTATCTAGGGACTCGTTTACAAGTTAAAGTTGTCACTCGGCTTACCATGTTATGCACCCTGTTTTGGTTCTCGTCTTCAGACGGTTGCTCTCGGTTTCGATACCCGCTGTTTGCATTGTACCGTGTATGCTGCGATGCGGCCTCGCTTCCATGACAGCAGCCTTCGGATCAGGAGGGATAGCGCACAAGACTCGGTATGTCACTGAAACATATAGCGAAGTAGTGAAGAACAAGGGAGGATGCCATGCGATAATAACTCAAGTTCTCAGGCTAGAGCAACTGGCCCTTGGAACGATGGCAGCGCAATTCGTCAGCTGGAACCGACTCACACCCGTGGCCGCCACCGTCAGCTTCGCATGTGAGACGCAATAGCTATAGGTTGAAGAATCGGGGCATCAACCAATTAGGGCTTTCGCCGAATCTGGACGCTGTCTTGACTCTTTATGTCTCGCCCCAAAGGTTCTATTATTACAAGTATACGGAGTACGCTAATGTACTGTGGTACATTCAAGTATACGCCAAGATATTGTGGTATCAATTGATATTCAACAACTTTCTCCAGCTCACCCCTATCGTGAGATGGCAGATGACTCACATGGTGTAGTATCTCAGGAAACTAGGAGTGCTTTAGCCACATCAGTTGCGAATAGCTTTAGACCCCTTTAAGAGGTCATGGAAATCATTACTCAGTCCGCCAGACCTATGTTACGGTTCAGTACGATGTAGCCTTGAGATGGTTGGCAACTGTTGTAACTCTTCCCCCGGGGCCTGCAGCGTAACAGCACGGTGACCCGCGACAGATTATCACCGCGGCTTCCACTAACACATGACGCTCATTAAGACGACACTCATTCTTTATGAGTAAAATGGCTCGATTCGGTGGAGTGCGACATGAAGCTGTGGCGGCAACCTCACACACCGAGCCTGAATTCGCGGCGCCACTACATGTAAACCGTATGACGAAACGCCATTTGGAGGCATCAAAAATGTATATCGTCAGGCATCACACCACCATGACATGACTTGGCCATTCCGGCGCGAGTCTTGGCTTGATATACTTATATATAGATCCATGCTGCCAGGCGTTTTGTAACACCGCTGTTTGTCAGATGAATTGTAGCCATTTTTCAATCCTGCGACACAACTCAAACAAAATACTATTCAAACCGTCGACATGTCAAAAAAAGTCATTATAGTCGGTGGCGTCGCCGGTGGCATGTCAGCAGCCACCCGGCTGCGTCGCCTAGATGAATCCGCAGAGATTACGGTATTCGAACAGGGCCCTTATGCCAGCTACGCAAACTGTGGCATACCATACGCTCTCGGAAACGTCATCAAGGACGACGATTCACTCATTCTGCACACGCCAAAGTATTTCAAGGAGCGTTTCAACATTGGCGTCTACCTCAACACTGAAGTCACCGAAATTGACCGCACAAACGAGAAAATCAGCACGCGAACCGTCGGCGGAACCGAG